AGGTGTTATAATATGATCAGCAATACAAAAATTAACTTCATTAGAAAATTTAATTTTTCAAAAATATAAGTTAATTTATAACTCGATTACGTTGAGGCTATCAATTTCATATTCTTTTTAGGCATACACAATTTTAATATTATTATTATAATTTTGATGTCTTATTATCCTTTTATTTATCTTTTCAATATAATTATCTTTATACTTAGAGAAGTTTGAATTTTTAGATTATTGATTTTGTAAAGATCAAATAAAAATAGAGAAATATACAAGTGTATAAAAATATAAAGAATGTGCAATGATTCGCAAATTGAAAAGAGACACAAAATTAGCATAAATACTAAAAGATGCACAAAGTGTGCCACAAATATTGAAAAGATGTGCAATGTCACCAAATAAATATATTGATAATATACTTTCCTTTATCATTTGATTTTCAATTTCAAATTAATCTAATATTTAATTATATTTTGTATTGGAATTTGACTTTAATTAATCTTCATTTCATCACTATTACAATTATTTTTTCTTATCTAATTATCAAGATTGTTTCATGACCTTGATATATTTATCTTGTCTATGTTATATTTTAATTTAAATGTTAGGAATCTTTATTTTTCTCTAATAAACATTAATCTTTTTATTGTAACTATAAATCAATCTCTTTCAATATCAATTACCAAAAGTTTCTCAAATGACTTCTTATATTTCTTTTATTTTTCTTCTTCTCTTTTCGCTGTTGTCAAAAAGGGGGACAAAATATTATTTTGCTTTAAATTATTTTGTATTTGCATTTTATTGTTTCTTGCCTTGTTTCTTGTATTATTTTTTGTCTTATTTCTTATATTGTTTTTTATTTTTGCTTTATTCATAGTGTTCAGTATTTTATTTTTGTTCCTTGCTTTGTGTTCACTTTGTGTGTTTTTAAAACATAAAAATTAAAAAAATTGATTTGTTTTTAATAAAAAAAAAATTATATTCACATGTTTATTCATTTAGAGGGAGTTAAGGTAAAATTTAGGATTTTTAATTTTATTCAAATAATAATTATTTTTTCATGATCAAAGAGGGGGAGATTGTTTAGATAGTTGCTACTTAGTTTTGCATGTTTGATATTCTTGCAACTTCTCTTTTTTTGATGATTTCAAATATAATTGATTTGATTATTATTTCTCCTAATATATTTTGGAAAAATTGTTTTGCTATTGTGTGTACTAACATTTCAGGGAAATCATACTCCGGATTATTGAAGATTTCAAATCAAGATCAGTTTAGAGTTTATTATGTTTGAAGTATGTATTTTTTTTATTCAGTCTTAGAGAGTGTAATTCTAATTGAGTAACTGAGCACACACACACCAGAGGAGAGTTTTAAAAATCATATTTTTAAACTGATCATACTGTATGATATCACTTCATACGGGATGATCTGATCAGTTATTTTTCCCCAACAAGTAATTGAAGAAACATAAATGAAATTATTTTTTCTAAGTGTGGTTCATACGGGATGATATTTAATTTTGTTCAGGGATGAACGCCTCTGTTTATTCCTCAAATAAAGATCTTAATGGACAATACTTAATTTAGTACAGGGACAAACGCCTCTATTTTATCTTTGAATGAAGATCGTATGGGATGATATTTAATTTTGTATTGGGGCGAATGCATCTATTTTGTCCTCGGAAGAAGATCGTAGAGGACAATATTTAATTTTGTATATGGATGAATGCCTCTGTTTTGTCTTCAGACAAAGATCGTACGGGAACATATTTAATTTCATACTAGGATGAACGCCTCTGGTATGTCCTCGGACGAAGATCGTAAAGGATGATATTAATGTTCGTACCATGATGAATATCTCTATTCTGTTCTCGCTCATTTCGTCCTGACATTTTATAAAGATGAAATTTAATTTTCTAACTGTTCTTCTCGGACGAACTTAGTTTATAGCGGATGATGATCGGGTATAAAATGATTTTGTACCGATTCTTAATAGGTTCGTACGCAATTATATTTGAACTATTCGTACGTACAAACATACGATCGTACTGTATGATAGTGTACGCTCTAAATTGAAAATTTTAGTTTTCTGGATGATTTTTCATGTCTTTTGTATAAAAGGTCCACTAAAACTGACATGACAAAGTCTTGTCTATGTTATTTTTCAAGGGTAATAGAAGGAGAGAGTGTGAGAGAGTGTTTGAGAGAGATTTCTTGCATATAGAGTGTAAAGTGTTTACAAGGTTTTTTTTTTTTTAAGAAGCACAAGGCTAAATGTTTTTATTAACCAAAGCAAACTAATTATAAACAACTAGAAACTCTAGATTCCTCCATTAACATGTTAAAGAACAAGGAAGGAATCTTATTAGAGGTTAAATCCTCCCAACAAAAATTATTACAGATGGCATAACTAGCACATAAATTAGCTAGCTTATTACATTCTCTATTTACCTAATTAAAAAAAATAAATTTATGATCTTTTAAAAGTATTAAGATCATCTTTCCACTTTCCTTCCAATCCTTGCAGAAATTTGATAACATTGTAGTTGTCTCCTTCAATAATAACTCCTTGATAATCTTATAACCAATCCTTCTTGATTTCCCTTATAAACTGAACTGAAAAAAGCTCAAGAGAAGCAATATCCCAATGTATACAAGAATGTCCATATGCCAAAATGAATCTTCCTTTACTATCTTTGACAACACCACCAATGTCGGCTTTGTAATTTCTTAATAAGGAAGCATCAACATTAATTTTTATCCAATTGGGAGGAGGAGGGTACCAATTATTTAACAGTCTAGACTACCGATTCGTACCCCAGTGACCCAATTTTCCATCATTCATAAAAGAAATGGAGGCCATACTTACTGCATTAGAAGCTAAGAGCAGTGAACAATCTTCTAATTTCAAATGAATCAATTTGTTTATGGAATTCCAAGTTAAATATACTGCATTGCAATACATATTAACCATGAAACTTTCTTTGCTTTGATTTTCTTCCATTCATCTCCAACATGATTGAAATGAATCAAAAATTCTGAATTGAAATCCTTATTTATTCAAGTTTTGAATAACATTCTTGAATTTAGTACAAGATACCGAGATATGATCAACATCTTCAATATTTCAACAACCTCTTGGACAACAAAACTTATCCTGGAGTTTTCTCTGATACAAGAATTCAAAAGTTAGTAAGGCCTTGATGAACAACCTCCACCAAAAGCCTTCAACCCTTGAGATCAGTTTTTCTTTTTTAAAACATTCCCAGAACTTACAATTATGCTCCTACACCACTGAATTTTTGTAAATCAGTGAAGAAAATGAAACTCCCGAAAGCTGATGGATTAACTACAGTCTGTCATTATCTTGATTTATATGAATCTCAATCTTCATAATTACATTACAAAGTTCCTCCCCAAAAAACTACTTAAGTTTCAAATTATTCCAATTACCATTTGCAATTAAGCAATCCACCATTTCACCCTCCATAATTTGAACTGAAACAAAAGTTGGCCTTGAGCTTAATTTTTTATCCAAGATCAAAATGTCCTCCAAGATGTTGATAGAGAAACCATTTGTAACTTCCCACTTTACTACAGATTTTAACGCCTTTTTTACACTGGATAGAATTTTACATGTAGATGAAGTTACCGCTGCAGAGACATAGTCATCTCTCCAATTTCCATACTTTTGGTTTAGCATTTGAAACAGCAAAGACCCCTCATCCTGAAGAACTCTCCAAACTAACTTAGCTCTTAAAGAATCCACATTTTCCACACAAGATAAAATACCTCTTCCTCCTTGGTCCAATGGTTTGCACAAATTGTTCCAGCTGACATAATGCAAACCAAACTCCCCATCTTGTTTGTTCTAGATAAACTGACGGCAAAGCTTTTCTACATCTTTTATAAAGCTTTTAAGAACTAATGAAAAAGTGCAATAAAAATTTGAGATAGAGAGTAAAGTTGTTTTGATCAACAACATTTTACCAGCCAATGAAAGCTGTTTGCTGCCCCACACCGCTGCACCAAAATTTTTTTAAAACACCTTTTAGAGTATTCCAACTCATGATATCATAGGCTTTCTCTAAATTAACTTTAAAAGAAACCAAGCCTTTCAAACATTTAGAATTTTTAAATTTTTGAAAAGTCTCCTGAGCCAGTAGAATATGATCTCCCATTGCTCTTCCATTGATAAAAGTAGCTTGCTCCACCAACACTACTTTATGAATAATGTTTTTCATTCTATTCAATAAAATTCTAGCAAGCACCTTATAAATAGACCTACATAAACTGATAGGTCTATAATGGCTTGGTAAAGAAGGAACCACCACTTTTGGAATGAGAACTAAAAGAATTTATTTCCATTCAAGATTCATTCTTCTCATTTCAAGGAATTGATTAACTGCACACCAACAGTCAATCCTAATAATTCCAATAAACCTTCATGAAGGAATAAATAACTCCATCATTTCGAGGAGTAATACTATCATTAGTCTGTAATACAACATTTTCCAATTCTTCCATAGAAAGATCTCTATTTAAACTTCTTCTATCCTCCTCAACAATCATTTTACTGGTACAAGGACTTTCTTCAAGATCACCCTCTCTTCTATTCCATTTTTTGCTGAAAAAATTCAGAAAAGCTTCATAAATGAGCTTCAGATCCTCAATGGTTGCTCCATCTTCATTTATAATTTTAAATATACAGTTTGAGTTCTTCCTTGCTAATGCAAATGAGTGAAAAAAACTTGTATTAGTGTCAATTCCCTTCATCCACCTTATCTTTGCTCATTGATTCCACTAGGTATTCATTCTAGCCAATACTGAATTCAAATTTCCAACATGAGATCTAAGAATAAAGATTTCTTCTTCCGTCAGCCATCCTATCTCCGCCTCCTTGGATTGTAGCTCCAGAATTTTGGATTTCAGGGAAACTTTTTGTTGTTCAAACTGTTTGAATGTAGCTCTACTGCAATAAAATAGAGCCTTCATAGATCTTCAAAATTTAAGATTCAACACATGAGCATAATCTCCATTAATCTTTTTAGACCAAGTTGCTTTAACAATTCCAATAGAATCCGGATAAGAAGCCCAAACTTTCTCAAATCTTATTATTTTGTAAGCTGCAAAATTAGCATCCAAAAAATTCAATATGATAGGACAATGGTCTGAAGCAACCCTTGTCAAATGTCTCACCAATATCCGATTGAAGTGCAAAACAATCGGATTCACATAGCATCTATCGAACCTCTCAAGAATTCTAGCATTACCATTCTTATTATTGCACCAAGTGAATATTGGTCCAACAATATTTGCTTCATGAAGGTCACATCTTGCTAAGAATGAGCTCATTTCTCTAGCTCCTTGAGAGAACCGAAATGGTCTTCCTCCTCTTTTATCTTCATTAGCCAAAATATAATTAAAATCACCCCCAACAATTACAGGATTACTGTTAGAGCAAAACTCCTCCAGATTATCCCATAAAATTCTTCTATAAGCCAGTTCTCTACCACCATACACCATGGCTATTCTCCACTTTCCCATCTTCATGACTTCGAGATCACCAATGATAAATTGATTCGAAGCAAATAAGTAATTAAATGAAGCTTGCTTACACTTCCATAATATCAAAATCCCTCCAGATAAACCAATAGTAGGTACTTGAACAAGCTTCCAATCATTCCCAATGAGGCTGGAAATATCATTATTGCTGAAGTTTGAAACTTTTGTTTCTAATAGCCCAACAAAAAAAAAACATTATTCTCTTTCACTATCTCCCTCAAATATAGAGAAGCCCCTTTTTATTGGCTCCTCTACAATTCCAAAACATAATTGAAGTCATTTATGAGACAAAAAGGGAAGAGCTTCCCTTTTTTTCCTTCAAGTCATTTTCAAATTTCCTCCCTCTTGGTAGCAGCTTAACAGATCCAACTCTTCTAAGCTCCTTGGCAAGCTTACTTCTGATGTTTGAAGAACCAACTTCACTGAAAACTTCATTATTATTACCTTCACATTCTTTAGTAGAACATGCTTCATTATTCACCTTAGGATTAAAAAATGGCTTGACAATCTGTGTCTCATCATTTACTTCAATGTCCTCTATTCCATGTATCACTTTTACACCTGTTTTCAAAACATCTTCCCCCACCAGACTTGTAAGAACTGAAAAATTATTTGCCTTTTGAATGTCTTGAGCTTCAATAACTTCTCCAGGTTCAACAATTTCTAGAGATTTTTCCTTATCCTGTTCAGAAACAATAGGACCAATTAACTTTTCTATTTCAAAAGTTTTTCTAATATCAACAGTCTTCTTTCTATATGATTGTTTGTTCCCCTAATTCAACATCATCTTGTTTGGAGTCTTATCTACAAAATTCATCTTTCCACGAAAATCATTCCCATTAGAATTTTTCCTTCCATATCTTACATGGATCCATGGTCCATATCCACTATCTTCTGTAGTAGTACCAGCTTCAGCCAATATTTCATTGCTTGCAATAACACAAGGATTCTTTACACAGCTTTCAGTTGCACCTAGGCTTTTAGAGGCCTGCACAGCAATCTTTTGATGGTAATTGATTTGGTCATGACCAATTTTACCACAACTAAAACAAATATTAGGAATCTTTTCAGATTCCAATTTCTCATAAAATTTGCCAGAATTTCATTCTATCCAAACTTTAAGAGGTAGAGCTTCTTCAAGCATTATGTGAACACATATCCTTGCAAATTCTCCCCCATTGAAACATATTTTCATCAATTAAATATGGTTTACCAACCTTTGAAGCAATCCTACAAACATTTATAGGGTCCCAACAATGAAGAGGTAAGTTTGGCATTCTTACCCAAACTTGTGCAGCTAGACCTTTCAATGAATTGGGAGAAAAAGAATGGCTCCATCTATCCACTCCAATAATGTTCCCCTTCACATACCTGGGACCATTACCAAGAACTGACTCCACAGCCTCCTCATTTTCAAATAAGCTCAAGCACCATCCATTTCCAAGCGAAGTAAGCTTAAAATTGCCCATTTGTGACCACTATCTCCTTAGTTCAGAATTCACCATAAATGAAGAGACATTCTCTCCAAATGCTTTAATCATTAAAGCCTTTTGTAAAGTTTTGGTATTTTCCAAAACTTTTTCTTCATACAATTGAATTGTTGAACCATCTTCAGAAATACAACAACAAAATTCCAGTCATAATCGGAAATCCTCCTATGGGATTTCTTTTGCCAAGCATTCATCAGATTGTTCCTAGTTTGTTCTTTAAACGAGCCAGCTTCTTCATTACTCAGGCATACAGGTTCTCTATCAGCTGAATCACACATTTGAACCATGTTCAATTCAGTTTTCTCTACATAATTCTGTTTCTCCTCAATGTTTTTATCAATTATGATTTTTTTTGTAATCTCCTTATTTTCAAAGGTAATGATCTCCTTGTAATTGTAGTTATCACTCTTCCTTTTGCCTTTCTAGATTGCTCGTGAGAAGATCTTCGGATAAGATCCAATTCTCTATTGATACTTGGGAAGTGTGAAAGGACGAAGGTTCTCTACCTACACTTGGAGGGTGTGAAAGGAAGACGGCTCTCTGCCGACACTTGGAGAGTGTGAATAGCCGATAGTACTCTACCTACACTTTGAGGCTGTGAAAGTACCAAGGTTCTCTACCAAAACATTGTGGGTATGAAAGGACGATGATTCTCTGCCACACTAGGGATTGCGGGAAGAGAGTTTTGTAAAGGCTTCTCTGCCTTACTATGGGGGCCAAAGCAGAGTCACTTTGATAATAGTGCAATACCTGAAGTGGGAGGCTTCAAGAAGTGGATGTAGGTTGTGTTTTCCTGAACCAATATATATCTTTGTGTCTTTTATTTTTTTGCAGCTTATTTTTTAGCAAGTTTCTTATTCTGTGGTTGAAAAGTTTTATATTAAAATGTTAATTAACTTGCTTTGTAAATCAACAATTTCAATATTTAAATCAAAGAGTAAATTTTTAAATTACCAATTCACCCCCCTCTTGGTTAGCCTTGGGACATTAGCTTAGGTTTAACAACCTAATCAAGATTCAACCAGAATCAACACCCCATACATTAGAGTGAACTATTTGAGGAGGTTTGTTTTCATAAGAAGTAGAAAAAGAAAAACTAATATGATGACATTTGGATTGGTAGCAGGATTTACATAAACTAGAAATAACTATAATAATATTGTATGGATGTTGTACTCAGATTATTGATGAAGTAGACAATTTTGGATGGCCATGATGCTTTTTCCAAAGTGAAGAGGCAATGATAGATGTAGATGGAGCTGAAGGTGTATTATTGGTAGAGAAAGTTGTTGGGATAAGATATAGAACATTATGGAAATGACCTTGAAGGAGAGTTGAGTGGTTATTTAAATCCTTGATTTAAAATCCATTAATAGCTTACGAGAGGGAGCATGTAAAATTCCTTGTGTAGCGGTAACAATGGGCAAGCTCTGTCCATTTCCAATGGTAATCTAATTTTGACCATTTTAAGGCTAAGCTGAATGAAGTTGAGTTGCATCAGTAGTTAGGTGATATAAATCTCTTGTGTCTTGATACCAATTTGAATTTGTTGAAATCGTTATTACAGAGAGAGATGATGAAGGATATGGTTGAAAGCTCAAGTTAGCCTGATGCTAGTAGGTGGCCATAGAGTGGCCTCGAGAGAGACAAATCTAACATTCAGTAGATCTATTCGGTGTGTGGAATCCTCTATAAGGATTTCTTCCTCCACGAGTGCAAGGTCAAGAACACTGAATAAGGTCATCTGTGACTACATCCCCTTGTGGTGTAGAGAGGTATTGGGTTCAAAGGTATCAACATGATGAGTTTTTTGGAACACCTTAGTTCTTAAATTGATTTCCTCACTACATAGTAAGGAGTATATATCAAATAAACTAGTAGGTTGTAACTTTGTGTGAATGGTTATCTTAAAAGTATTATAGGTAGCAGGAAAACCATTAAGTGTATATAAGATAATATCCTCCATTTCTATAATGCTATCAGCGACGTTGATAACGTCAACCATGGATTTGATGAGTGAAAGATATTGAGTCATCATCATGTCTTTCATCGTAAGATGATGTAGTTTGATCTTGAGCTAAAGTATGCATGAACAATTTGTAGATTGTAGTCATTTCTCGATGGTTAACCAGACAACATGAATGGTTTCAAGGTTGAGGATATTGAGAATAAGAAAAGAGAGGGGAAGGTGATTGAATACAATGCCACAATTAAGTTTAGATTGATGAGTTTTTTAATGTATACTCAGAATTTAGTGTACGGGATTGATAAGAACTTAAGTTATAATTTTGAGGAGGTAAAGTAGTGCCATCGAGAAAACCATGAAACCCATTTGCTAGAAAAACTTTGATGACTTGATCTTTCCATGTAGGATATTTGTTAGTGGACAAATGGGAATGAACAATATTTTTGATATTGTTCAATAGAAATTTTAGGGAGGATGAGATTTGAGTTTCTATAAGATGAGTATAGCTGGGGAAGACATTGTAGATGCAGTAACTTGAGTTGCTTACTTTCTAATCGTAGAGTATAAGAAAAAAAAAGCCCTAAGGCAATAGATCTGATACCATGTTAAATTCTTGTATAAAAACAAAGATCAAATACATAGTTAAATCATAACAGAGTAGAGAAGTTTCTATATTTTATATTCATTAATGTCTCTCATTAACTCCTATAGATACATTGAGTGTATTAATAAGAATGAGGAAGATTATAAGTAGATTCAGAATCTGGCTGTTGAAGTAGGTTCTCCATGGATGGTTGTGATGCTATTAGCCAATTCCTTCTATACGTGGCAGAAACATCTTCCCCAGCTTTCATGTGTAGGGTGTAGTGAAATGGAGAGTTGCATATAATTATTAGTGGATCCATTGGAGTTATATGCTCTAACAACATGAAAGATAATAGATGTTTCCTTCCTTTAATCCTTAAAATTTAAAATTTTTAAAATATTATTAAAATTAGTAGAGATATATCAATTTTAAATAATTTATTATTTATTACTATTATAATAAAAAAATTAAAAACTTCCTTGCTATAAAAATTAGATCATATATTAAATTGTTTGAATAGTTATGACTTGATCCTTTTTAATATTTTAGATTTTAAACTAAGAAATATTTTCTTTGCTAAAAGATACAAAATAGTAATTTTGAGATAAGTTTATTTTCCAATGAAATTTCTTTTATTTCTTTAGAGTTTTTGAGGTACATTTTTCTGTCATTATAAGTTAATAAGTCCCAAATTGAAATATATTGGATTAGATATATATGGATTCTATATACTGAAGGAATATAGATCACATATAAAAAATGGAGTTTTTACTAAAATTCAAAATAGCTATGAAAAAACTTAATATCATATAATGATTCTTTTTCCTTAAAATTGTTTGTAGTTTATCTAAGCTCGTGTTCAATGCATTCGTTAAATAAATTATCTTAATAAGAATAATTTTTTTAGCTTGAAATTTAAATTATTCGAGCACAAAAAAAAACTCTA